GAGGTATTCGGCCAATCACAACGCACTAGATAGCTGGCCAATCAGAGCACACCGCACTTTTCAGAACTATGAGCTTTGTAAAAATCAATGCATTTCAGAAAGGCGGGTCATAGAGGAGCAACAATAATGTACATTATGTGGAACATAATGTGTTTTTTGAACCTTAAACCGCATAAACACATTGCATTACAACAAATACACAAAATAATGTTCTTTTTAGCAACGTCATATGACCCCTTTTAAAATATCCGCTCACATACTCTGAAGCACTCACTTACATAGAGTTTTGCGGAGCAACTTACTACAAGAATCGATTATGAGTAAGTATCCTTCAAATGAACTCTCGTAATGGATTAGTGATCCATATGTTGTGCCTAGACAGACAGTCGGTTTGACATTGTACATTGAACTTGATCGGCGTTTCTCCATTTACACCATCTGCGCTGTGACTGACTGGATTAATTCCACCTTGTCATTGCGTCGCTCACACTATGAGATCATGTGGCAATAATATCAAACTTGTGTGAAAATATTGTAGCGTCTTTGACTGCTCGAGACAGGTTCAGATCATGATGCTGACTTGCACATACTTAACATGTTGCACATACTTAACGAGCTTTAGTGACTTCAACAAGCAGCGATTTGGCCCCAATCCAGCATTAAAGCCCAAAGCCCTGTAGTGTGAGTTTGCCATAAGGAGATCTGCCCTTGATCAAGACACTGGTCACTCCATGATAAAGGCTTTGGATAAAAGTGACTTGTTAAATGACAATATACAATCTGTAACATACTGAACAATCAAGAATATGTTATTGTATCAGATCAGATAGTGTGCAACTTATTAGAGAAAGAAAGAGACAGGGAGAGATGTATTAGTAGGTGTTTTGTTTATTGATGTTCACAATACATATAAATCTTTAAAGATGAAAGACTTGATGCATCTTTGTTAATATTTTAGCAATTATAATATTTCTGTGTTAGCACGAGTTTTGTTTGTAGAGGACATCATCAATGGAGCTTATAGTTCATTGTTACGTTGTCCAATTCGCGCTATTAACAAACCATTAACTTAATAAATTGCTTATTTGCTGCTTATTAATAGTAAGGTAGTTGTGATGTTTAGGTATTAGGGATGTAGAATATGGTCATGCAGAATATGTGCTTTATAAGTACTAATAAACAGCCAATATGTTAATAATAGACATGCTAATCAGCAAGTAGTTAATAGTGAGAATTGGTCCCTTTACTAAAGTGTTACCCTAACCCAGTCATTTTGTTCCGTTTCCAGTTCTGAGTTTGTGTAAATAAAAATATACTGCCACATTTAGATCCAATCTCTCATCTTAAGTGCAACCAGGCTGCAGAGGTGTAAAGTATTGGAGTAAATGTAGTTAGTTACTGTACTTGAGTATCTTTTCAGGTACTTTGTAGTTGTTGAATGTAATGGTTGTCTGTTTGCCAGTCATTCTGTTCTTTGTTCCCTTTGGTTTTTGCCTTATTGTTTGTTCTAGTTTTTCCATTAAATGCCTGCACATAGATCCTTGCCTCTGCCTGTTTTCCGCAGCTTCTATACGACGTTACAGTTTTTCACTGGCATGTCTCTTTGACTAGTGCATCTTTGAGCCTATATTTAGTATAAGTAAAATACTTAAGTACTGTTAAAATTAGTTACTCTAAGACTTTTACTCAAGTTGTTTTGGAATTGGTGACTTGTAACGTGTAGTGGAGTAATTTTCACTGTAAGGTATCTGTACTTTTACTCAAGTATGGTTTTTAGGTACTCTTTACACCTCTGCCAGGCTGTGACAACATGACATTTTAGAGTCATTAAATTAAATATATTCTGGTCCCACTTTATATTAGGCATCTTCAAATACTATGTAGTTAATAATAAAATAATGAATTGTTAGTTACAGTGTACCTGTTGTGTTCATGTTGAATTACAAAATGCTTAAGATAAGGTTACAGATAAGATTAGGAGCAGTTTTGGTGGTCTGGTTAGGACCAGTTAAGGGTGGAGATAGGGTCAACAGTGTAATTATAGATGTAATTACAGATATTAACAGCAGATGTAATTACAGGAAGATATTTTCAAATATAAGTACAATGTAACAGCATGTAATAAGTGCATGTATTAAATGATTAATTTAAATGTAAGTACATAGAACTTAATATGAAGTCGGTCCATTTTCATTGAATGTTATAAAAGCCATATGAAAAGGTTAAAAGCCCACATTAAACCAGCATTGGTTTGCAATTTAAATGTGTTTTAGGTTTTACGTTGTCCAAAAATATAGTAATATTCAGTAAATCCTGAACATAAGTATACATAGAAAATGTTTAAGTTCTGAGCCTTTCACTGTTACCGAACTATACATGTAGCACACCATGTGATTTATCTAAACAATGCAGTAAAGCAGCGTTGTGGATTTTGGTAGAGACTTTCTGTTTGGTAGAGACCCGGAAGTTGCATAAATGTTTACTTGTCACGTCGTCGTCATGGAAATTCATTGGACCAAGCCCTGGTTTACTCACATCCATCCAGTATTTAAGACACAGTACCACAGATGCCAGAGTAAATACAGACTGTGACATTACAGTAACTGGACAAGAACATCTGTGCAAGGTAAACCATTCATCTCTCGAATGTATACGCTACATTTAAGCTTTCTAATCTATCTTTATTATTGGCAACTGAATAATAAATGAATTTAATCTGAGCTAAACACTGTTTGATTTAAGTAGAGAATAATATTTTCACATTAGGTTCTTTTGATTTGCAGGATGAAGACTTTACATGCAATGCTGCTGATGCTGTTTGTTGCATCAGTCTTTTCAAAACCAGTAAGTATTCAGTAATGTTTTCTTTTACATTTTTTGTATTTTTACTATGATTTTTTAAAATAAAGTGTTACTGTTATACTTTATTAACTTTGTATTTGTTCAAGAGCATACAGTACTATTATTAATGAAATGATCAACTGTTTAAATCCTCAGCCTTACCCGCGCAGAAGATCTGATTCATCAGACTCGGAGGGTTCGGATGAAAATGATTCACGCAGAGCATACAGAGAGGATTCACAGTCGGTTGAGAATTCTGACGAGTCTAATGAATCTTCTGAGGAAGACATCAGAGTTGTGACAACTCGCAAAACAAGTCCACCGACCACTAGCAAGACAACAATCAGCGGGCCATAAGACATCACAAGCTGTGTTACTGTGGATCTGACAACTGAAATAATGGGCAATAATAATATAATATCTTATTATAACATCTTACAATGCTACTGCTTAATCATCTTTTCATGCAAAAAAAAAACAAACAAACAAAAAATGTCATATTGGTTTACAAAAGAAAGTAATGTTTATGTGCTGATAATGAAGGTCTTGAAACTGATTGATGTAACTTTTAAAATTAATTACTTTTAAATTGCATGTCCCTATTATGATTTTAAGTGCTCATTCAGAATAAAGAATCTTTCAAATGCAACCAATTGCCATAATCATCATTTCAATTAGCATTTTCCAGTGGGTGATATGATAGTACTTTGTCTGAAGTTAGAAAATATGATTTATCGCCATATGAATGAGAGTTCAGTAACTTTTTTAGAAGCCATAATATATAATTAGGACATGGAACTTACTATATATATACTATTTTTCTAATTAAATTGTAATTCCCTTTTTTTGTGAGATCAAAATGAGATAAACAGCATCATCCTATGGAATTAAAAAAAAAATTGGTCATACTTTATTTTAAGCTCCAATTCTCACTATTAACAAACCATTAACTACATCTTTTGCCTCAATATACTACTAATTTGCTGCTAATGAATAGTTAGTAAGGTAGTTGTTAAGTTTAGGTATTGAGTAGGATTAAGGATGTAGAACATGGTCATGCAGAATAGGTGCTTTATAATTAATAATAAACAGCCAATATGTTGATCATACGCATGCTAATAAGCAACTAGTTAAAGGGGTAATATGATGCTGCAAAAAATAACATTATTTTGTTTATTTAGTGTAATGAAATGTGTTTATGCGGTTTAAGGTTCAAAAAACACATTATTTTCCACATACTGTACATTATTGTAGTGTGGAAAAGTCTAAAAGAAATCACCAATTACAAGTCACCATCCCCCAGCACTGCGGTGAATCAACAACTGGCAGACGATCTGAACGAGTTCTACTGCAAGTTTGAAAAGACACCCCACACCCGCCCTGAACACCTCTCCACACAATCATTCACACCTCCAGCAACCCCCCTCTCCCCCACACCTGCAATTCAGAGACATAACTGCACACAATTATATTATCAGCAATACCAGGTACTCTTTTTCAGTCTATTATATGTTTAAAACCTGTATGGAGGATGTGACTTTATTTTAAGGTCCAATTCTCGCTATTAACAAACCATTAAAAATTATTTTCGCCTCCTAATTAAACTCCTAATTCGCTGCTTATTAATAGTTAGTAAGGTAGTTGTTAAGTTTAGGTATTGAGTAGGATTAAGGATGTAGAACATGGTCATGCAGAATAGGTGCTTTATAATTAATAATAAACAGCCAATATGTTGATCATACGCATGCTAATAAGCAACTAGTTAAAGGGGTAATATGATGCTGCAAAAAATAACATTATTTTGTTTATTTAGTGTAATGAAATGTGTTTATGCGGTTTAAGGTTCAAAAAACACATTATTTTCCACATACTGTACATTAT